AATCGAATTTTCTCTCTCTCTTTCTCTTTTTCTCTTTCTCTTTCTCTTTCTCTCTCTCTCTCTCTCTCTCTTTCTCTTTTTCTCTCTCTCTTTCTCTTTTTCTCTCTCTCTCTCTCTCTTTTACTCTTTTTTTTCTCTCTCTCTCTCTTTCTCTCTCTCTCTCTCTCTTTTACTCTTTTTCTCTCTCTCTTTTTCTCTCCCTCTCTCTTTTTCTCTCCCTCTCTCTTTTTCTCTCTCTCTCTTTTACTCTTTCTCTCTCTCTTTTTTTCTCTCTCTCCTCTACCTTTTTTCTCTCTCTCTCTATCTCTCCTTTTCTCTCTCTCTTTCTCTCCCTCTCCCTATTTTTCTCTCACTGTTTCTCCCTCTCTTTCTTTCACTCTCTCTTTCTTTCTCTTTCTCTCTCTCTCTGTTTCTCCTTTCTCTTTTTTTCTCTCTCTTTCTCTCAAGAAGAGGAAAACGTTGTTTTGGCAATAGTATTAAATAGCAAGTTGGCAGTACCAACTTGCTTATTATTGAAACAATTATTACAATAGATACACGTTCTTTTTTTAATCGTTTACATCGATTAATTTATAAAAATCATTAAGCATGCACCATCCAGTTCAAAAGGCTTTTTACGTCTCAATCGTCTTCTTAAGCTGCTAGTGTCGAGCAATTTGTTGGCTTCTTCATTTGTACCCTGGGGATGTCTTTCATGATGAGACACTGCCAATTTGCTTATCCAGAGCTGATAGATGTGAATTTCTATCGAAAAGTCATTAATGGTTTTGAAGTTTCAGTTCTAATTCATTTTATTTTTATTTTTATATGTTCTTTCCATCTAATCTGTCCAGCGTCATTCCGTAGGTGAATATGCTATTTGTTTGCCATTTACATTGTGACCGAAAGGTTTTCGGAAATTCTCATTTAAAATTCGCGCGCTGTATATTTTTCGATATTTTAAGTTTATGTAGTTTGGCAGCACTGTCCTTAATTACTATGCCAAAAATGAGCGCGATCTGTCGGACAGTTCGTTTACGGCAGCTGTTGAAACCAGTTCACCTCAGTAGTGCGTTGCGAAAAAAACAATGGAAAAAAATATTGAACAAAGAGTTTGCATCAAATTTTGTTTTTCGAACGAAATTTCGTGTGCAGAATCGTTGCGAATGCTACAAAAGGCTTATGGGGAATCAGTTTTATCGAAAACTCAAGTTTATGAGTGGTACAAAGCCTTTCAGGACTGTCGTACGACCGTCGAAGACATGCCGCGTTCTGGACGACCTTCGACCTCTACCACCGACGAAAACATTGAAAAGGCAAAGGAAATCGTGTTCAAAAATCCTCATGTGAGTGTTAGAGAGATAGCACGAGAGCTAGGCATCGGTCGTGAGATGGCTCGTTTGATTTTGGTGGACAATTTGTGTATGCGACGTGTCAACGCCCGGCTTGTTCCGATTCACCTCAATTTGTTCAACATTATCAACGATTTTAAGGCCAAACATTCAATAAATACCATCGAACAGCCACCGTATTCACCTGATCTTGCACCGTGTGACTTTTTCCTGTTTCCCAACCTCAAATTACCACTCAGAGGAACGCGTTTTGAATCCATAGAAGACGTAAAACAGAATTCGCAGAGGGAACTCAAAGCCATACCGGAAAGCGCCTATAAAAAATGTTTTGATGATTGGAAGAAACTTTGGCATTTGTGTATCGCTTCTAATGGAGCATATTTTGAAGGAGATAAAATAAATATTGATGAAGATTAAGAATTTTGCGTTTTATTTAAAATTTCCGGAAACTTTTCGGTCACAATGTATTCTAATTGATATGGACCTTTTTCATTGTAAAATTGATATGAGTTGATTTCAAATCATTCAAATTCATCTTGTCCAACTACCTACTTCAACAATGGCGATTTGAAGTAAATAGCAAAGTGATATTTTAATATTTTATGTGAAAAAAAGATACATGTACAACAATTTGGTAGGATAAATTCATTTAGTCGTATATACAAGACGTTTCAACAAGAAGCACTGAAAGACAATGTCATATTGACTATACACCAATCAGCGTCACCAATCAGTGGTGACATATAAAATTACCAGCTATCTGGATAAACAGACGGATATTATGCACTGATATGATAGGCCGCTCAAATAAAAAAAAATCTCATTTTAGTTATTATTAAATTTATATTTTAAATTAATTCACCCTGACCGTGTAGTAACCGTCTACAAAGCAATGAAATAAATAACTCAGAGAACTACGAATTCAAATTCAAATAGATATCGTAAAAAATGGGCGAATACCAATTAGCGTATCAGCTGTAAGGTCAGAGAGTTTGACTTCAATTTTGCCGAAATAATCTACATACGAGCACTGCAAAACTGCCCTTTAACAGCGGGTCTTATACAGGAGTACACAAACCGCACATGGCACGCAGTTCCGCTTGACAAGAAAGCTCGCAAAACTATTAAAATAATGCACGATATACCACAACCCACAGCTAATTAAACTACTGGGCGCGCGCTTTTAATCTTAGCTTCATGCAGGAAGCTAAGCAAGAAAGTAGAAGTCGAAGTCGAAGACGAAGGCGAATGCGAACGCGAATGGATAATTTGCAATTCTAGATACAAAAGATGTACAATAAAAAAGATGTCGCATTCGTACCACACACAAATGAAAGCTAAGCTGAGCTTACTGCTCCATAAATTTCTGTACGTGCATAATTCTTTCCTTTTACAGGTTTTAAAATGCAGCCTGTAGTAGCTCCTGTGCTGGGTAACTGGCTTAGGCTCCGGTATCATCAGCACTCGTTCATGAAGCAATTAATTCCACTTCAGTTGTAACTGATAAATGCCGAAAATCGTGTTCTAGTGATTTTTAACTCGCATTTCATTCTCCGTTCGATTCGGACGTTTTCATCTGATATTGTAGTTCATACGCTTTCAATAAGGGTTTTCGTTTTTCAGCAAGCTCGCAGTTGATTGGACGAACTCCTGTGTATATTTGTGTATTCTTGCTTTTAATGGCGTTTTGCGTATATTCGAGGAGAAGTACAGGAAATGTATACGCGACTAGATCATGTGATCATGTTCCTTCGTACAATGCGTCACAAATTCTCTCATTTTCTTTTTTTGTTTTGGTTTTTTTTGTGGTATTTGCTCACTGATCTACCTGTGAATTCTAAATTAACAAGTAACTTCCATCGCATCTGTATTTTTCATGGGTCGTTTTTATTATGTAGTGACTGTTGGAATTTCGAGCTAATGTCGAGCTGTGTTCTTTTCAAGGAATTCGTATGAGCGCACGTATCGATGGCTGCTTATCGCAGGACATGACTTGCGAAATGTTTGTCGGCGCTTGTTGTGCCGGGCTTTAACGCTTTCGATTTGGCTGGCTTGGTTGGACTTCAGTTTGCAGACTTTATCTACATTTAAAAACTTCAACGTGTATTTCGTTAAAAATAATGATAAAAAAGTTTTTAATTGACTACCTTTATTTATGGTGAGCATCACAGAAAATCATTTTCGGTTTAGTAAAAAATTACACCGTATTTATAGGAATACCAAATAAAAATTGTGAAATTATTTATTTTCCACTAAATATTCTCACATTTCTAAACCATAAGTGCATCATTCTCTTTTATGAAAATCAATGCTCCCTTAAACCGTGGTATATGTTATATAGAATTTGTTGCAATTATTCGGACAGTAAAGACGAAAAACTCAACCTTGCAATAGAAATAGTAGTAGATTGACTGGCGTCATGCGTAAGTTTTTTATTTTTCATTTAATTATAATGACTATGTAACACATAAAAAATAATGAAATAAATAAAATCTATGTACAATGTCATTAGTAGCAACTTTTGTTGCCTTCTACTACAGTCTATTTTAGTCAACTCTCAGAATGAGAACTAAAATAGGAATAAACGATTTCTGCATGTATGTATGTTGATCCTTTTTTCGAGTCAGCGCAACTGTGCACTTTTACTCTTTGATAACTGGGGGTACTGCAGGGTCCCACCCATCTCATTGACTAATTTATGTATTGCCTATAAGCTTCATGATTATTCAGTGATTGATCTAAGATCAGCGTACCTCCCCGTGCGGAGAATGATTACTCTAAGATTAGATAGTGGTAAGTTGGATAGCCTGTCAATTTTCACATATAACTTCAGGGCACAGACTTAAGGGACAGACTTATGTATTTTTTGATCGGGTCTATTCTAAGGTCTCTTAGCATGTCGTTTGTGCGTTTCTGCATGTTGTTAAGATAGTTGGTTAAAGCACTATCTTAACTAATTTTTAACGTCCGTTTTGACGAAAGAAACTAAATTATTAATATAAACTATTGATTTCAATAGAGAGCCTTTAATCGAACAGTAGTATTATTGCCGCATACCCATCATCAGTGATCTTGGATTTATTTCTTATATTTAAGTATTCGTCAATTTTTTTTTTTTGAGACAACAAATACCAAAAGTTGAACTCGTACCTTGTCGTATCCTTTTCAACAATGTGTGTATCATCTTTCTCCTCTCGATATATCGGCGTTCGATATGTTGGAGTATTCAAAGTACCCGGTATAGTGATATGAATTTCAATCGATATTCGATGTTGGCAAATATAATATGCATCGGTATGAAATACATTATTGAAAAAAATTCCTTTAAAGAAGTAGAAAAATCCAGGTACAATAAACAAAATAGATCACATAATTTATTTTTATGTATAATTAGTCCGATGTATCGAACTAATATATACATACTATTAGATTTATAACTAATTAAACTGAAGAAAACTAAAAATATATTTAATCAATGATTGAATATGAAGAAGATTTGATAGGGTCAAGCTGTCAAACAAAGAAATTAAATACATTTTATATATAATAATATTCTGACAACATCAGTCAAAGCTAAATTGTATTCAAATTATTTTTATTTACTTATTTTATTTTATTTGTATGAGTTACTTACTGCATTATTTTTGATACTCTTTTTACTTTTTGCAGGCATTCCAAAACCCACAAAGAGGTCAAAAAACAATTCGCTTGCAAAAAATGTGCTTTTAAAGGACAGAGTAAAGCCCTTCTGAAACGGCATGAGCTGACACATTCTTCCAAGAAATTTTACAAATGCCCACACTGTTCATATCATTGCACAACTCTGGATTATTTGAGAAATCATGTATTGAAAACTAAAGCTCATCCTGGGCTGTGTCTTTATATTTGTAAGAGTTGTGAATCTTCAAAGCAGAATGGAAGCGCGGATGAAATTTTTAAGACAAACTCTTTTACAGAATATCAAACACATTGCAAACGCGTTCATGATTTAAGCATTAAAAACTATAAAGTTTTCTTAAAAACCAGAGCCAAGAAAGTTAAGTAAAAAGTCTTCATTCAACCCGTAAATTACATCAAAAACTTGAAACTGCAGGAACATGTAAACTGGATCCATCAAAAAATGCAAAAATTTTAATATATCCCGAAAAAAAAGCAAGGATTTGAGGCAAGAGCAGCAAATGCAAAGTACCAAAATCTCCTAAAGTTTCTCCTAAAGTCGTCATAACACATCACTCACAGTCATCACAGTCGTTTGACTAACTAAGTAACACAAATTTTTTCTGTCAAAAATCGATTTTACTCAACAATATAATCTCCTTCAAGAGCAATACAATCATTCCAACGCTTCTCTAACTTCTCGATGCCGTTCTACTAGAAGGATTTGTCTTTTACCTCAAAATAGACTCAGTTTTAGCAATTACTTCTTCATTTGAGATGAATTTCTTACTGGCGAGCATTTTTTTTAGATCAGCGAATAGCCAGTAGTCACTGGGGGCTAGATCTGGACTATGCGGTGGATGAGGAACTAATTCAAAGTGTACCATCGTTTTTATTGACTTGTGACACGGTGAAACAAAATTTTTTTGTAAACACACTGCCTCCTGATATCTTTACGGTCTCAGCTATCTCATGCAATTTCAATTTACAATCAGATATAACCAATTTCTGAACTTTTTTGACGTTTTCTGGAGTAACCACGTTTAAATTCAGCAACCAATAACATATGGTTTTTTTCGATGGAGCAGAGTCCGGATAACATTTTTGAAGCCATTGCTAAGCTTGTACAGTATTTTTTCATCAAGAAGCAATGATAAACTAACACACGAAATTGTCTTGAATCCATTGTTTTGAAAATAACAAAAGTAGCTTCACTTAAATGGATTTGACAATGGCAGCGCCATCTGTGTGTCAGTCACATGACTTATTGAGTGATGTGTTATATAAAATCATTTACAAAAGAATGATAATCTTTGGAACCGCTTTGGCGTAATAATCTTTATTTCGTGATACTTCTACAATTTTTCCGATCATTGTTAGATCATTTGAATCTCAAATTTTTGGGAGTCAAGGCAATTTTTCTTCCTACACTTTGTCTATAACATTTGAAGAACTTAGCGTTAGTGCCAAATTCCGAAGGAAGCCTCTGGTTATTGATTCTCAGTGTCCAAAGTTTTGCAATATATTATATAATCACAGACAATTTATGTATATGTAGATGTCCATCAATATATATAATAAGTGCTGAATGAAGTTTTAAAAGTCAACCGTTCGACCGCCGTTCAATCTATAGCAAAGTATTATTATTTATTATTATTTATTATTTTTTATTATTTTTTATTATTTTTTATTATTATTTATAATTATTTATTATTATTTATTATTATTTATAATTATTTATAATTATTTATTATTATTTATTATTATTTATTATTTTTTATTATTATTTATTATTATTTATTATTATTTATTATTATTTATTATTATTTGTTATTATTATTTATTATTGTTTATTATTATTTATTATTATTTATTATTATTTATTATTATTTATTATTATTTATTATTATTTATTATTATTTATTATTATTTATTATTATTTATTATTATTTAATATTATTTATTATTATTTATTATTATTTATTATTATTTATTATTATTTATTATTATTAATTATAATTTATTGTTATTTAAAATATTATTATTAGTAAATCAAAAAACTTATGCATCAAAATTAAGAAAGAATGCGATCGTAAAACTTTCTTGTGATGGATCCGATGGCCTTCTACTCCTGCTGTAATTGCGTGTACTCTAGCTTCTGCTTACATGTCGCGTTTGCATCGTGAACGGGCACCAGAGTTGAGGTCATTACAAGCTAATTATCTTGTAAATCATCCGTAATTTTTATTTAAATAAATATGGTATATATATACATATGGATCTATGAATAAAACCTGGTAAAATGCTTGAAACCTTAAAGCAAAATGAAATGAAATTAATATATCGAATTAAATGTTAATGTACAGAAAATTTTTGTGTTATTGTATATATGTAATAAATAAACAATCTTGTAATTCATTGTGTTAATAAGATGAGCTTCCACTTGGAGAAATCCGTTTATGGAACTTTTAAAATATTCGCCGATTTTGTGGTTGGCGTGGCGCAGACAAAACTCGATATTTATATTCCTATTATAGATATGATCATTTTTTATGATTATTAAAGTAGCTCTTGCGGTTGTAGTAAATCTATTCCAGTGTTTATTATTGTAAAACACTCAGAAAGAATTTCGTCAAGACCAACCGACAATTTAGTTTTTGCACAGTTTAATACTTCAAACATCTCTGGTTATCTAATGATCTAATCTAATGATGAATTTTCATCGATAGGTTCTTTAAAATTTTAAACTAATTCATTGGTAAACATTGCGTTGTCGCCTGTAATTATATGACTAAGTTTAATCGCTAGGATGTCATGTTCTGTTGCAAATAAATGTTGTTTCCTTAATTTTATTGTAGAGAGCGTAGCCATTGTATGCGGACTACAAGTTTTTCGTTTCGGAACTGTAAACATCCAACCAATTTTTTTTTTGTAAAACATTTATAAGTTTATCAATAGAAATTTGTTTCATTTGCATATATAACGTAAGAGTATATAACCCTTTAATACTATTAATTTCTTCTCTAGTTTTTGCATTTTGTACCGTCTTCACTTTTTTGTTTAATGAAGTCTTCAACTTAGCTAACAGCAAATTATAAAATGAAACAACATTTACGGCATGATAAGCACAGATTTTGGTGACCGTTGTTTAAAATCTTGTACTTGTTTTTATACGTTAGGCTTGGGATCGTGTTTCTACAATGCTCTTCTTTGTACTTCACTTCTTTTCGAAAAAACCTCTTTATAATCAAATTTAAAAATAAAGCGGGAGACACATTACGGATATCATTATAAGCGATATTGGTGAAATAATGGCCGTTACATCGAACACAACCAATACTTTAATAACCCATTTAAGGGTTACCTATTCACAATCCTAGAAGTTGAAATCCGCCATAAAATAATGAAAATCAACTGAAATGGCAGCTAAATTATATAAAACCTATACGTGAATGGCTAATGACTTGTTAAACAATATTCAGAGAATTCCCGATACCATCCTTACCATCCTAAAAAGCACAATGTATAACGCGCTGATTAAAGTATAGAACTAAGAACAGTAGTGAAAGGACAGTGTGGAACTTACCAAACGGTTCTTTAATCGTATGAGAGTCCATTAAATAAACATCCTGTCCCGCCGTTTGTCCGCGGTAACATTAAATTCAAAAAGTCGTACCAAATTTATTATTTTTATTTGCCATCTTTAACGTTGTAGGAGCACATTAATAATGTTGTTTGATGCGGTGAAGTTAGTAAGAAAAGATTTTTTTTTCATCTTGAAAACTGCCATTGTGCATCAAGCTTAAAGTTAAACTGCATTTTTCATTTCAATATTGTGTACATAATTAAAAATTGTCTTTCTTCCTTAACGCCACTTCACCACTATTAGTCAAAAACAATTCACTTACTCAAAATATATATATACTCTGAGTTTCCTCATTTCACTTATTGCATTCGCTACTTTACAATCGTCGTGTAAAGAATTAGCTCCGTGGATTCTTAGCAACCTCTGAATGACAGAGACTGCAGTCTGTACATTATTGTCACATCATTTATATTTCATTTGAATTTTATTTATCTTATTTGTGGTTGCTCTATAGACTAAAGAAAATAGTGGTTTCTACATACGTATAACCCCGCACGTTTTTACTAATGACATAACCAGCTGTTTTTGAACATTAACAATATGTGATTCGTAACATAGATAACCATCCCCGGAGTTAGCCTAACTCCAAATTTGATTATTCTAACTCCTTTTTGAATTGTCGGAGCTGCCGAGTAAGGACCGTCCGACTCATAAGACTCCATCACTGGTCAACAATTTAGTCTCGTATATTTAATACTGCGAACATTAAACCTTCCTGTCAGGGTTGTGGGATTCATGCCCTTGCTGATTATTCGGCGAACTTTTGCCTAAGTTACCGACTTATTATGCTCTTGGATGATCATAAAGCAATTGTTCTTTCCCAAATTATTATGATGGTCTTCCTCTTATGAAAAAAACTCTTTCCGTATATAAGCAGCTAATGTATAATAATACGCAAGTGTAAGTACATGAAATTACAATTATACATATTGGAATATGTATTATATATATTATCGTAAATGATATTTTGATTTGCTATTTAAATTTTCCGCAGTGGCAATTATTATGCTTAAAATATTTTTATAATAAAAACTAAGAACTTAAAAATAATATGTGGGTCCAGTTTCAACCAAACAACCCTCTTTCTTCCCACTGAAGACTTTTCGTTTACCACGCTTCCCTGAAATACATACGCAATGCAATTAGTAGAAAATTTCTTACGCTTATTCGTGACCCGCGGATAAGCGGACAATTTCTCAACACAAAAGCATCGTCTGTGACTATAAGAAGTGCACATCTGCGATTGAGTTAATTAGTATTATGATTCGCAGAAGATATCACCTATATTTACATGCAGAGGCACTTTTATCCCGTTATCTCAAGAATGAACAAACGAATACGATTTTTGTCTTTTGCTATTTAAACTTTAGATTTCAAAGAATAAATATATGTAAAAATTTTAATTTAAAATATTTATTTATGTTGTGTTTCTTCATCACATATCAAAATTCGTAAGGTGTACGCAGACTTTATTGGCTATGTGTATCTAAGCGAAAATAAATGTGCGTATTTGTTGACGCTAATTGAAACCATATTGAGTCAAGCAATAAGAACATTTCAGCGATTTAAAATCATGTTGCTTAAAAACCAGCAACAATAAATGTTTCTGCATTTTATGCAACATTTATCCTACTGCAGACACAGACCGAACGATCTCTGAGGTCGTAAGAATAAAGACCGTAATATTATAAAAACGTTCAAACTCGCTCAATGACCGTAGCAAAAACATAGAAATATAAACACATGTAATTTGCCTCTGTAAAAAAAATCATGAATTCTGAAAAGATAAAGGGTAAATGGGGTAAACATGTCTGCTCAAATGAAAAAAAAATTGAACTTATTATTTCATGTATGATCGATACCATTTTGTTAGTTGGATTCAAATACCATTTTGTTGGATTTAATTGGTCTTGAAACGTCCATACAGTTAACTGCTTTTCACTTTCCGACACATACGCATATATCCATGATTTGTCACCTGTCACAATCTTGTACTCATTTACGTCTTTTCAAGCATCACCATTGTACTTCTTGAGCAG